TTCTACTATACAACACGCTACTCTACTCTACGTTACTCTACGACACTGCTCTCTACTCTACTCTACGACAATCTACTCTACTATACTCTACGACAATTTATTACACTCTACTCTACTGTACGACACTCTACTGTATTACACTATCCTCTATTCTACTATCCTCTATTCTACTCAACTTTACTTTACTCTACCATAAGATACTCTACTCTACTCTACTATACTTTACTCTACTTTACTTTACTCTACTCTACTCTACTCTACTCTACTCTACTCTACTCTACTCTACTCTACTCTACTCTACGACACTCTACTCTACTCTACGACACTCTACTCTACTCTATGACACTCTATGACACTCTACGACACTCTACAACACTCTATGACACTCTACGACACTCTTCGACACTCTTTTGTACTCTATGGCACTTTACGATACTCTACGACACTGTACAAAACTCTACTATACTCTACTGTACGACACTCTACGACACTCTACTCTACTCTACAACACTATATGACACTCTACTCTATGACACTCTACTGTACTCTACTCTACTTTACTCTAAGACACTCTATAACACATTTCTCTAGTCAACTATAGTCTACTTTACTCTACTGTACAACACTCGACTCTACTTTATTGTACGACACTCTAATCTACTCTACTCTATTTTATGACATTGTACTCTACTTTACTCTACTCTGCGATACTCTACTCTACTGTACTCAGCTCCATTATATTACACTCTACTCTACGACACTCTACTCTACCACACTTGACGACATTCTACTCTACTCTACTCTACGACACTCTACTCTACGACACTCTACTCTACGACACTCTACTTTATCCTACGACATTCTACTTTACTCTACTATATGACACTTTGCTCTGCTCTACTCTACTCTATAACACTTTACTTTACGCTACTCTACTCTACTCTACTCTACTCTACTCTACTCTACTCTACTCTGATATACTTTACTCTACTCTATAACACTTTACTTTACTCCACTCTACTCTACTCTACTCTACTGTGCTCCACTCTACTCTACTCTACTCTATGACACTCTACTTACGATACTCTCTACAACACTACTCTACAACACTCTACTCTACGACACTGTACGACACTCAACGACACTCTACTTTACTCTACTTTACTCTATTGTATGACACTCTACTCTACTCTACGACACTCTACGGCACTCTACTCTATCACACTCTACGTTACTCTACGACACTCTACGACACTCTCCTCGACTCTATGGTACTTTCTTTACTATTTCAGTAGTTTTGGTTGCGAGTGTAACCCGCATCGCCCACATCGCGAGTGCTAAGTTATTCATCAATTAAACTCAGACTTTGTAATCAGTTTTAAATTATTCTTTATTACGTTGTGATTCATTTTTTTATTTTTTTTTAAGTCTGTCTCATTTTATGCGAGTGGCACGTGTCAGGTTGTCTACAACATTTCTTATTTCTGCGAGCATGACCCGCACTGCCCGCACCGCGAGCGTTTAGCTAGTATATATATGTATAAATATTTTTACATATATGTGTATTTTATTATTTTATTAATATTAATTTTTATTTTTTACTTTATATTATTATTATTAAAAATATATATATATATGTATATATGAAAAAAATAATAATAAAGTATATATGTGTGTATGTGCGTTTTGTCATAAATATATACATGTATGTATATATATATATGTACATATATTTATGCATATATATGTATATGTAAGGTCCCCATCCCGTACGTATAGAGGTCTCCCGGCCGACCTCTATACGTACAGGCGTTCGGGGTCTCGTTTGAGGTCCGAACTCGAAGGCGTTCGGCCCCGCCAAAAATTATTTTGGGGCCTAAAAAAAAATGTTTTGTTCTCTGAATTTTCTTTTGCGAGTTCTCTATGATGTGAGGTAATTGAGTTCATTTCACTGATCCAAACAAAAAATAAAAATTGTCAAAGATGGCAGGGTCAAAACATGCTCGCCCACTCATTATTTTGTTCTTTTTAACTTTACTTTTTTTTTTTTTTTTACTACGGGGCCTAAACAATTTTATTATTTTTTTATTTTTTTTAATCTGTTTTATATTATGTGAAGTACACATCTGAAAATTTTCGGAGTTTTTGTTTGTGCTAAAAAAGAATGAAAAATCACCAAAGATGGCGGTGTCGAAAACGTGTTCGCTCACTCACTAATTTAATTCTCTTTTTATTTTTTTTTATTTTTATTGTTAGTTTTATTTTCTTCATTTTGTTTTTATTTCAAATTTGGTAAGGAAGGGCTGCTCTCGCTGAAGCGCGAACTAAGGAAGCAGCTCTTCCCTGGAACGGTCTTTGATATGATGCTCTAGAAATTTGTCCGCCAGCGTGCCTCGGATTGGACCGAGGTAGCTAGAAGAGTCACTTTCGAGTTGGCTCAGGTTGCGTAGGGACCTCGGAGAGGCTCTTGGAGCAGGCAAGTCGTCTGTGAGGATCGATCAAGGGACCTCAGTTTGACCTTTTGGTAACTAAGTAGCTAGAAGTGTCGCTTTCGACGTGGCTCACGGAGCACGAGGCCCGAGCTGTTGGGGTAGGCCTGTGTTCGTTGAGGTTCGATCGAGGGATCTCATGCTTGACACTTTTTCGTTTGGTTTGTTTGTCATGGTCCTTTGTTTTTTGTTGTCCTTWRGTTTTTTGTTGTCTTTTAGTTTTGTTTCGGYGCCCACTCAATGATATTGGCACTTCCTAGGATCGGGTAGAATCATAGACAGGACCTAAGGCTACCAATAGCTTGGCCAGTGAGAACATGACCTCTTCTCAGACGTCGAAGTGTAGGCGTGCGTGTGTAGGGCGTTTCTGCCTTTCTCGCGCGTTTGGGTACTTTGAGTGCCACGGGGTACTCGCGCGATTGTTTCTCGGTATTTTCAAAGTACTAGCCTTCGCGCTGATGTTGATGAAAGGATTTATTCTTTCACTGTGTTCATGAGTGTGAACAACTTCACTGCATGCATGCTGTTATGTGCTGCACCGTACTCACTTTGCCTGTGATCTAGCGCTATAACTTGTCGAGGGATTTTACTCAGAATTTGGTGTTAGCGAGGACCTGGTTACCATAAGCAAGGCGACTTTACAAGTTATCTGACAGGAAGGAAGAAGGAGTTTCCTCGAGTGTTTGGGTGAATGACAAGTATTCGGAACAGTCGAAGACTGGCGAACGTCGTGTCAAAGGCGATCGTTGACTGACCAAACCAAGACATGGGGAGCAGAAGGAGCGAGTCATGGGGGAGGCATGAATGGTACAAGGGTATGAGAGTGGAGGATGGGATAGTGGGGAAGATAGGAGAGAAAGAGGAAGAGATCGGGAGCGAAAATATGACGATCGACGTGGACATTCGGCCGACGACCAAAGGAGGAGAAGTGACGTGCAACGGCAAGTTAAATGTTACGAGTGTGGCGAATTCGGTCATTATAAAAGTCAATGCCCCCGACTGCAGGGGAGGTATGGAGGAAGCAGTGGAACTCTCTCGCTAAGTAGAGAGCTTGAAGATTCGCTGAGTTCGGTGGGTAAGATGGCAAAACAGATTCTGGACCAGCAAAAGGAAGTCGAGGAGGCGAAACAAGCAGCCGATGCTAAAGCAAGGAAAGAAGAGGAGGAGAAGGCCTCAAAAGAAGAAGCGACTAGGATCGCGCTTGTGAAAAAACTCGCCAAGGAAGAGAAAGAAAAGAAGCGACAATGGAAGCTGAAGAAGCTGCTAGCTTAACAAGCCGAAGAATACGAGTTGAAGTTGGAAAAGTTGGTCGGGCTAAGTAAGAAGATGAAGGGCGTCACCATTGGTGCAAAGCAGAAAGAAAAAGCGATTGAAACACCGCCATCGAGTGACGATGACGCTGAGGAAGACGAGGCAGAGGAGGAAGCAACACCATTGAAAGGTAAAAGGAAGCGTCGAGATTCAACTGGGGCTGTGGAGAACAGTCCGCCGGTCGAGACGTCGAAGAAACAAGGAAGAAAAGAAAGCGTGGAGACACCTGCAAGTCAGAAGCGCAAAGGTCGTGGAAGACCGACCAAAGCAGAAGCTCAGGCCACGAGAATGGCGAAGGGAGAAGATCCATGGGAAGGTGTTCCTATGGGAGAGAAGTTCGCGACCGAGACGGCGTATCGGAAAGCGGTACGAAAGGCAATAGGGGCATTTTACTCAGAAACTTTGAAGGCAATGTGCAAAGGTGTCGGGCTGCCGTTCTATGGAGTGAATGACGTGATCGATACTCTTTCAGAGTTGAGGGTGAGATATTGTTTTCGAGGTAAGAAGTCGGCAAGTTCTGCATCGAGCCGAGATGCTGACGAGGATCAGATAAGGGGTGAAACTCAAGACCCATAGGGAGAACCAGACAAGTAAGGCAGAAGGATGGTGTTTTTCGCTGAAGTTTTGTGAGATTAGATGATGGTGCAAGTTGAACCGAAAGGGGAGAAGCCTGTTACCATTGGTGGAGAGGATTCTTAGGAATGTTATTCTACTCCTGATCTTGGATAATGAAATTAGTTGGGGAAGAAAATATGTTGAATGCATGTGGGATGTTTTCGAAAAGGCAAGGGATAAGTGGGATGATCCGAATTCTTGTGTCTATATCTTGTTGGACCCATGGTGTAAGCTGACGTACGTAGGGAAAACGGAGAGGTGGCTAAGTGACAGGTGGGCTGAGCACGTGGGTAAAGCTCGGTCTGGATGCGTTACTCGAAAAAACAAGCTATACCAGTGGCTAAGGAAGTGGGGGTGGGAGTCCTACGTAGCGATCCCTGTAGCAACGGCGGAGAACTCCGACTTGGAGAAGTTGGAGTCAAGGTTGATTCGACGTTGGTGCCCGACCCTTAACGTTAATGGTTGGAAAGATGGGAGGAACAGGAAAAAGAAGAAGAGGAAGGGAAGGAGGGAGAGAAAGAAGAAAAGGAGAGAAGGTTTCGATGATGAAAGAGTGCTTAGGTTTCAGGCGAAGAAAGGAAGTTCAGGGAGATTAACTAAGGTGATTAAGTCGGTTAAAGGGAAGAAGGAGAGATCGATTATCTCAAGTGGTGGAAAAATATGGTTGGAAGACTGGGGTGTAGGAAAGAGGGTGTTTGGCGAATCATACGTTCTTTTCAAGGATAAAGCATGTAAGCTAAAGAGTTCGAAACGTGCCTTCGAAGACGGAGGGGAGGTGCGCTTTGTGAGAATTCGCGAACGATCGTCAGAGAATCCTCAGTTGAAAAAGCAGTTGTATCAACTGTTGAAGTGTCCATGGTCAAAGAAGAAGCTCGACTACCTTCAGTTGGACCAGCTCATCGACTTATACCAGATTATTTCGAGTGTTAGCAAAAAAAGTTCGAGGAAGACCCTGAAGGATATTATTAATAAAATCGTGAAAAGAAGGTTCAGAGTTAACCTAAGGAGGAGGATTGTGATAGGGGTGAAGTACGATGACAGGATTTCAAGAGCAAACGTTAGGAAGTTAGTCGTATCAAAGATTGGGGAACAAAGCCAATTACCTGCAGTAGCGAAGCTACGCTGTCGGAAGCTCCGACTGGTATGGAGGAAAAACCTGACAGTAGGAGGCCTTCTACACAACCAGAGGCGATTCAGTCACCAACTGGCAACGTTCTGCAGATGTGCTGACCTGCAGCTCCCTAGACAGGGAGAACACGTAGCGTTTCGCCTAAGCTCCAGGGATGAGGTGGATTCCAGAATCTGGAATGCGAAGAACATGGTCCAAGGTATTGATAGTGGTAACGAAGTCTCAAAGTTGTGTATGGAACTAAACGAAGAGATGACGAAAATGGGTTTGGAACCGACCTGGACCCTGCCGCAAGCAAGAAGCTGTATTCGAAGGTTGAGGGAAAAGAAGGAGGGACTGATCGATGAAATCGAGAAAGTGAAGAAGAAGTGGGATGGGTTAGTATTCTGCCCGTTAGATAAAAACTTGGCAGAGATACTGGTTCTCTCTCCAGTTCTGTACGAAGCAGGAATGAGGACGACGTTTTGGGATAACACTGCTTTCGACCCTGTTTGGAGGAGTGAAAAACAGGTGATGATCAAGGCGAAGTACGAGTACGAAGAGAAAGGTCTGGAGGAGATAGGGAAGTGGAATAATAAGGGCACATGGAGGAGGGCTTACGTGCTTCCCAAACACAAGGATATTACGAAATTCCGCCCAATATCTCCTTCGTTCCCGGAGCCCGCGAGAATGGCGAACCAACGAGTGGCGAGGGCTCTGAATTTCTTGCTCTTCTCTTTGCCGAAGAGTTGCCACTTCAATTTGAGATCTACAAACCAGATGAAGTCAAGGCTGAAGGAAGTTAGTAGGTGGTCTAAGCGAAGGAAGAGAGGCGAGTTGAAAGGAACCGCCTACGACATTAAGGAAATATTCAGTAGGCTCCCACACGAGTCAGTGAGAAAGGCGATTTGTTGGATCCTTTCTCTGTTTAAGATGAAGGGTAAATCTTTCGTCATGGTTAGAACGAGGGGTAAAGGGGCCTCGTTTGGGAGTAAGAAAGGGGAAGATGAATGGGTGAAGATCACCTTTGAAATGATTGATAGGATGGTAGACTTTGACTTGTGTAACACGTTCGTATGGGCATCTGATAGGCTAATCAGACAAAAGGAAGGCATCCCGATGGGGAAGTCGAGTAGCCCCCCAATTGCTTGTATCCTCTGTGCTTTTTATGAATGCTTGTTTTTGAAATCTTTGGGGAAGGACGCGACGCTGGTGAAAGGAATTAGGTTAGTAGATGATGTGTCTGTTTTCGTGTGGCAAAGTTGGGATCGGAAAGATCAGGGGAAAGCATATGAGATCATAAGGAAGTTCGAGAGAGCTTATGATCCAAAGCTGACTTTGAAGAGAACAGATGACGGACAGAACGAATGGGGCTTCATGGGTTGTCGAGTTAAGATTAAATCCGGCGAAGTGTCCAGTTGGTACAGGGCAAAGAATTTTAATGAGATTTGGAACAATAGCGATAACTTGAATATCGATGCTTTCAGGATTTCTCATCGTACACCTGCATTAAGCAGAAACGGATGTTGATTAACGGAATGTTCCATAAAATTAAGGAATGTACAACGTCCGCTGCACTTGCAGAGGCAGGGCTGCTCTCGCTGAAGCGCGAACTGAGGAAGCAACTCTTCCCAGGAATGTTCTTTGATATGATGCTCTGGAAATTTGTCCGTCAGCGTGGCCCGGATTGGACCGAAGGAGCTAGAAGAGTCACTTTCGAGTTGGCTCAGGTTGCGTAGGGACCTCGGAGAGGCTCTTGGAGTAGGCAAGTCGTCTGTGAGGATCAATCAAGGGACCTCAGTTTGACCTTTTGGTAACTAAGTAGCTAGAAGTGTCGCTTTCGACGTGGCTCATGGAGCACGAGGCCCGAGCTGTTGGGGTAGGCCTGTGTTCGTTGAGGTTCGATCGAGGGATCTCATGCTTGACACTTTTTCGTTTGGTTTGTTTGTCATGGTCCTTTGTTTTTTGTTGTCCTTWAGTTTTTTGTTGTCTTTTAGTTTTGTTTCGGYGCCCACTCAATGATATTGGCACTTCCTAGGATCGGGTAGAATCATAGACAGGACCTAAGGCTACCAATAGCTTGGCCAGTGAGAACATGACCTCTTCTCAAACGTCGAAATGTAGGCGTGCGTGTGTAGGGCGTTTCTGCCTTCCTCGCGCGTTTGGGTACTTTGAGTGTCACGGGGTACTCGCGCGATTGTTCCTCGGCATTTTCAAAGTACTAGCCTTCGCGCTGATGTTGATAAAAGGGTTTATTTTTTCACTATGTTCATGAGTGTGAACAACTTCTCTGCATGCATGTTGTTATGTGTTGCACCGTACTCACTTTGCCTGCTTGGATGTAATGCTCAGGCAAATGTTGTTTATTTTATTTTCCTTTATAACATTTGTTTTTTCAGATTTTTTGAATTGTTTTTTGTTTTAGTCCGCGTTCATCCCGAACGGCCGAATGCATTCCCAAGAGGTCCAGCGCGTTCGGGCGGTCGGGTTCGGGTGTTTGGAATGTGCCGAACGTCGTTGACCTTGTATATATATATGTGTACATATGCGCCTACGTATAAACATTTATATATATATATATATATACTTCTACATATGTGTGTATTTTATTATTTTATTAATTTTTTATTTATTATTTTTTAGTTTATATATTTTATTCATTAAAAAAAAAACATATATATGTATATATGGAAAAGTTATCTTTATGAAGTATTTTTTTGTTTTGGTGTGACTTTTAATTTGTGTGGTCAACACAGAGTAACGTTTGGGGCGTCATCTTTATTGATGCAATTGTCATTTTAACTTGTGTAGCATCGTGTTCAGGTTCAGTAACCGAACCCGAACGTGCGTCATTGTAATACTTTTGGCTAAGCTTTCTATAGACTCGTCTCTCGGATCATTCTGCCATAAGAGAGTCACCAGTGAACACTGTCTGGTCGCTGGCCGTTCGGGGAGACGACGATTGGGAGTTGTTTGTATCATCGTTATATAACAGAGCGTTGATGGCCGCGACGGGTCTGATCGGGGTATTCGGAGAAGGGGAACCAAGAATGATCGGATTATGTGGTTCGTTGCCGTCGGAGATCATTGTTGCTGACTTGGATGACATCTTGATTAGGGACGGCGGCAGGTGGTGGTGGATTAGCATATCTTTCTAACCATTGCTAAAGTACTTGATTCGTAGATAGTCGCCATTGGGCTTGAAGAGCAGCAGGTCCAACAGTTATCATGGTGGCAACACTTATTATGAATGCGGGTAGTGTTGTTTTAGCGAATTTGGTGATTTGCTAGTGTCGGCATTCGAAAGGGAAGGGAGAAGTGAGAGGGGTGAAACTGTTGTTCCAATCATCGTCGTTTGTATTTTTGAGTCGAATGTTGTGTGCGAGCATCTTGGACGCAGTGATAAGTTGCGTTGGCGACATCCGTGGTAAGGTTGTCGAGATTCGTGAGTTGCACCATAGAGGGGGTAAGGAATACGATCGTGTATTTGATTTTGATTAGTGTGTGGCGTGGCAGATGGTGCGTCATTATCGTGTAACTACAAGCTCGTTATGTTGTTTGTGGTCGGCATGGGTTAAGAAGGTGATGATCTCCGGAAGATTGAGATCTATGTTACCAAGCGGTGTTCCGATGTCCTGAACGAGATTCCTGTGCATAGGATTAATATTGTGGTCGAGGTGATTGAGCTCCTGGTATTTGATGTGGCACGCGAACATGAAGGAAAGCTAACAACACAAGCCGCGTGGGAGGCGTTTGTAGATCCGTCATTGGTGGATCGTGAGTACCTTCAAGGCGCTATCTGTGAGGGTGCATTGTATGACAGGTAGTTGTTGTTGTGAGGGTTGGGGAGTATATTGCGAAGGTTTATCTACGCTTAAGCTCGATCGGCTCTTATAGATGGGACAAGTATTTCGATGGTAGTTTGGAGTTCAACTTAAGATGTCGTTGTACGAAAAAAAGGTGTATGAATGTTCGGTATCCATCGATGTTTGATATTTAGCAGTTGGTTGCTATAGTGGATGCGAATTTTGATGTGAATTTCAAATGCTCGACTTCCATTTTGTTACAGATGAAAATTACACGTTGTGTTTTGCGAAGATGTCATTTTTTTGTAAGCCGTGTGATCTATCTTAGGATGTTTTTTTTTTTTTCGGTATCGGGAAGCTGAAAACGGAGTATGAGGAACTGCGTTAGTGGTGTGAGATGTAGCCTTTGAACACGTGGTTTCCTCGTTGGAAGTTTGTTTGTCGAGGTTCAGAGTAAAAATGACTATTTCTCATGTATTAGCAGGAGAGAGGGTTTTTTAAGAAAAACAACGAGGGGAGGAGGGGGATGGGGGGAATGTGCTGATTAGTAATGGTTATGTGATCCGTTGTTCTCATCGTTGCCAGATTATGTATAGACGTGTGATTGTGAACGTGTACATGAGCATAGTTGTTTGGTGGGATATTAGGGGGTGATTCATAGGTGGGGTTTGCGGACTAGAGTGAGCTTTAATATGAAAAGACAGGTGAGGGAACGGGGGGTATTAGTTATGAGATTGTATATACATAGATTATCCATGAGGATATTAGTTACGAGATTGTAAGTGGTGTCGTGAATGGGTTACTTGCGAAAGTGTATACGGGAGCGATTGGAGATTTCAGGTAAGAATTTCTAAAAAAAAAATTATAGGTGTATCCCTAAATTTTGTCTGTTTTTTTTATTTTTTGACAATTGCATTGTTTGCTTGTATACGGGAAGTGGGATTGGGGTTTTGTCGAGGTTGGCTAAGAGAGGAGCGGGCGTGAGTGCGTTTGTCAGTAGGATAAGGCAGGGCATGATGGGTGCAGTTCGAAAAAATTGAGAAGTGGTGTATAATGGTTAAATTGTTAAAAATGTGTATTGGGTAGATTTGACGAGTGTATAAGAAACGTAGATGATCTTAGATATTTGAACATATTTCATATTAATTCCTATCAGAGTAATGGTAAGTGTGAGAGGCGTATGTGGGTGCGATTTACCTAGTTAATATATGCAGCGTGCGTAGGAGGTTTTAAATACTGGCGTATTATTTTCAAGATGCATCGTTTGGTGGTAGTAAGTAGGTTCGTGTTGTTGGTGTACGTGTTCGTGTGTGTGTATGTATATTTTGGTCAGGAGTGTCTGGCGTGTTTGCGTGAGTTTAATGGTTTCGTAGTGCGAGTTGTATGTGGGGTAATGAGCAGGGATATGGAAGATACGGGTATGGGTGGTGAGGAACGAGTCATGTGTTAAGCGATGACCATGTTGATGGATGGTTCGTTGGTGAGGGATTCAACCTCCAGCTTTGTAACTGGATCTAAGTTGGGTAAGTATGTGGGAGATGTGTGTATAACACGACGATTTCATGGATTCATAGGAAACGAACCTCACCTTAACATGCGGTAACTTCATGTCGTCACATCCACCATTGAACCAGTACAGAGGCATCGGAATAGAAGCATACACTCCATAGAAGCAATGACCATGCAATTCATAATCATTAAAGGGGGTAGAGAAAGAAGAGAGAAAAATAAGGAGGAAAAGGAAAAGAAGTTGTAGATGGATATGAAGATCGAGGAGATGAGGGGGAGCGGTGATAGCCAAAGGCTATCTTCATCCAACAATTTCTTGCCTGAAAGGGGGGTGCATGCCCTGAAGCGTTTTTTGTTGTATAACATCATTAATGGCTCATCAGAGGGTCTGCCTCTAGCTCTCATTAAGAAGGTAAAAAGGTAAGGATTGGGTCGAGGAAGGTAGGTTGCGGGCAGTATGGAAAGAAAGAGGATTACCTCAAGGCGTAAATTTTGCGATGAAGTAGCATCTTGCATGGTGGTCATCGTTGTAGTGGTTTGCGCAGTTGTGGGCTTATGCAATCACGTTTCGCACAAGAGTGCAGTCGTATCGTTGTGGCCACGAGGGGTGGGTCCTTGCTGAGCTGGAGCTGAGAGTAGTAGTACTCCATTAGTAGAGACACATGTCCGATCTGTAGCGCAAGGAACATGCAAGATCGATGCCTAGGGACTCGAAGCTTGGAGAGTTGGTCGGTGTAGTGAGAGGAAGAGCACAGAGCGAAGTATGCCCCTGAGAGGAAGAGAGTGAAGCGGGGTATACTCTTTTAGGAGGAGGGGTGGAGGAGGAAGGCAACCATATAGTACGGTAGACTCTCGCTGATTGGCGAGTTTAAGAGGGCGAGGAGAGTCTATATGAAGTAGAGTAGTGGTTGAGTGGGCTGGTTGGGAACGTGGTTGGGCGAGAACTTGTATTAGTTGCAGGGGGCTAGTGTGTGTCAGCCAGAGCATGTGGAGGGTGTAAGGTTACAATAAAGCGCATCGAGGTTTGTGCTTGGGGATTGGGGGGGGAGTGAGTGTGGGGGATCGGTTTATCAGTGTTTGCACGTAATATTGTTGTTAAGTTCCTAGATGTATCTGTCTTATATTAGTGTGAGGGGGAGTTATGCAAGGTCATATTGCATTTTTTTTGTGTGTGCATATGCGCCGGAAGTTTTTAGATGTTATAATTGTAGCAAGTGCTTGCGTGGGGTAACGGGTATTAAGTAATGTGTGGCGGGATATTACCAGTTTGAAGTGAATTCATATTTTATCAGTTAGTGTCAGTGGCACATGTGTGTCGGTGGTTTGCTTTGCCGGTATCATAATTTTTTTTTTCGTGATGTGTGTGGGCGTGTGGGCTACTTTCTTGTTGTGGGCGAGTTTTTTAACTTGAAGTATAGTCGACTGTTGCAGATTGTACTAGGTGGACGTTGGAGGTTTGCAGTAAGTGTTGCATTTGTCTTTTAGTGGTGATTGTGCATGTGCACAATGGTGGGTGTTTTTTTCGGCGTCGTTGTTATTGTTGCAGTTTGTGTCTTACTCGTGTCTGTCAGGTACGTCTTTTCGAGGTGGTCGGGGTCCATTTGGAAGGGTTGTGTGTTTGCTTTCTTTCAGCTACGTTGTATGGGTGGTTTGTAGTTTTAATTTTTTGTGTAAAGATATACATGAAAGTAACGTTTTAGTTATTGTGCCTATTTTTTTTTTCCTTAATGGAACGTTCCGTGGTCTATTATTTTTTAATTTTATTTTTTTGTTTTTTAATTTTTTAATTTTATTATTTTATTTGTACCTTTGCAGTCATTGTTATGGTGATTTTGTTCATTTTTTTGAAAAAACTTAAAGTTTTTATTTTATATTTATTTGTATTCTTTATTTTTTTGTTTTTATGATTTTCGTTTTTAAGGTTCCTTGCAGCGATTTTGTACCCATAACTGTTAAGGAGGTATCTGTTCGTAGTGTTTTTTAAGAAAGGATTGAAGTTACTGTATGTCTTGCAGAGTATGTGTTAGTGGTTTAGATGGGCTGGTGTTTGAGGGTGTTGGATGTCGAGGTACAATTATTTTTGTTTTAAGAGATTTTATGATTTTTTAACGAAAATTTAACTTGTTGTTACCCCTTTTATTTTAAAAAAAAAATAGTAAATGTTCATACATGTACGTGTGTATATCTGCATGTATGTGTGTGTGCAAGAATTGTGTATGTATGTTCATATATATATCGTCACAAACAGAACTGCCTGGTAAACCGTAGGCAGAGAGAGAGAAGAGGACAACAAACGAGGGGCTGTGACAAACTGTTTCGTCGGAGTTTTATATTGCATATTATAAATATGTGTGTATGTATGTGTAATGTGTGTGTGTGTGTGAAGAGAGTGTGTGTGTGTGTGGAGAGAGTGTGTATGTGTTTTTTTTGTTTTTTTTTTGTAAGTGCGGGTGTATGTATGTTTGTGTGTAGATATATGTAAATGTGTTGGGGGGTTATATGAGTAAGTATATATGTGTGTAGTATGTATGTGTGTATGTGTGTGTGTGTGTATGTGTGTGTACGTGTATGTGTGTGTGCGTGTGTGTGTGTGTGTGTGTGTGTGTGTGTGTGTATTGTCATATTCGCTATACACTAAAAAAAACATGACTGTGCCAAAGTGTTTCATCGGACTTTCACCGAATTTTCAAAAGGTTGAACCCTGACGGTGTGCCCAAGATGCATTTGAGTGATGGATGTGTGTGTGTGTGCGAGCGCCCCAGACTGTTTCGTCAGACGTTTACCGCCTCATTAGGAGGTTGAACCTCGACAGTCCTCCAAGGATGTATTTGACTGATGGCGCTGACGAGAGATGTCAGCATAGTGTCGATCAAGGGCGGCATGGTATGGACACCGTGACGAGGTGTGTCCATCCTGGCGGCAACAAAGGCATCCGCGACGGGCGTCGAGGGCGGCGCACTCCTCAGGAGATAGAGCTCCGCGAGGAGGAACAAAACCCTGCGGGAGGTCTATCTGAGGACTTATGGACGTGCGGGCGCCAACCTGTGCAACCCGACTGCGTGCACGACCCATGGCGGACATGACCATCTGCAGATGCTCGGCCACCGGAACAGTGTCGACATCTAAGTGATACTGGATGACGTCTCGGAGCTCGATGTCCTCGGAGGCGTCCCCAAGGGTAGGGTCAAGCTTGGCCAAGGCGTCCTCGCCGTACTCTAGAGAGTTGTAGCGCCAAGAGAATGCCGCTCAAGGTGGAGCTGGTCAGCGAAAGTGGCCGGCGAAGGAGCATCGACCGCGTGTGGTGACGCGTAACTGGGTGGCGACGGCGGTGGATCGAGAAGAAGATGGGGCGTCAAAGAAGCGACTCAGCATCTTCTGGTACTGTCGAGCAGCCTCGTAGGCCTGCTTTGAGGAGGCGAAGCTCTTTCGCCGGAGCTCGATGCGGTAGTCAGTCGGAAGACTGACTGCGAACCTGTTGGTCAAAAGAACCTCAGGTAGGAGTGTCTCATCGCAAATGAGGTTGGTGTCCTGAAACACTCTAATGTGACGCTCAAGATCGGTTGGTGTG